AATTGGAATCCTAGGTAGTATCTTCAAATGAGCTTCCCATGAAATATCCACACACTTGTCTCAAGTGTACAGACTCTGATCAATCACCAGCTCATTCTCACCTTGTGAGGCATGCCATTTTACTACCCATGTGCTCAGTTAACTTCAGTGACCTGTCATGTTGAAAATCACAGATGGAGGGGAAATTCCTAGTCCTATGATCTCCTTGATGACAATGGCCTAAAAGTACCACAGGAATGACCCTTAAACCAGTAACTCAATCCATGTTCATTCTGATGTTTCCTAAATACTGGAGAGATATGGACTAGCCACATCTAAGATTTAAAAAGGATGTTTAAAGAATTGGGTTCTTCATAACATCTTATTAGGATATGAGTAGGATTCAAGGGCTTTGGCTTTTTTACATTGTCTCTGGTAGGAGGCTAATTGCCATCTGTGTTTTCTACTAGGTCTGCTGAGACTCATAATGACCAATTCTACATTCCAGGAAGTTTTCTCTTGAGGGTTCATCTGAATTGAAGTGACCCTCTTCCTCAACTTTCATGGTTCTTCCCTGAAGTCAGCCTGGTGGCAGATATGCCATCTGGATTGAAACTATTTGGGAAAATAAAAGGAAGAGCCTGATAAAATCAATAGCTGCTGGAGCCAGGGTCTCAGGTTGCTTATTGACTGCATGTCAGCAGGTGAAAGACAGACAAGCACCTGCTTGTGTCCCTATTCTTTCCATTTGGATCATGATTGTTTTGTCATGCAGATAAGACCGAATGAAAAGAATGATTTTGTTTGCTGATTGAGGTATAGGGAAAGTATTTGAACTGGCATACCTGGCTCTTAAAATATAGTTCAAATAAGCTATTTTTACATTTTTTTAAATTCATTCAGGTGTTATGTCTTCTGAACTGTTCTTTACTGCCTGACTCTGAAATCAAAGTTAGGAACAAAGAAAATGGCAGCTAGGAAGGGACTGATAGTAATGATGCAATCTAGACTCCCACTGAGAGAAGAGACATACTCATTCAGAATTAAAGAATGGGAGAGGAAGACATAAGAGTATGAGACAAGGAGAGGCCAGTTCTAATCCTACATGTAACCAGTCAATTGGAGAAATGTAATTGCTTTTTAATTCATGCTTTTAAGCCAGTTCATTATTACAAAAAGTGGAAACCACTCTGACAGATAGATAAACACGTCTATCAGGTGTCCAGATCACTCTCCCCAGGTCTGTCTGGTCCGTGCTTCTTTTATCCCCTCCCACCAGGTTTCCCAAGTCTGCCTTTTGTCATTAACCATACATTCTTCCACACATTATCTTTATTGACCTAAAAATAAAAGGCCAATGTAAGAAGCAATGAGCATTTATTTGAAATCAAAAAAGAACAGCTATTTGGAAAGTGCTGATTGAGGCATGAACCTAGCGGGGTTCTGATTAGGAGTCAAAGGCAGAGAGTATCTGTGAGAAAGGGAAAGGGGGCAAGTACACTAGATGGAAGGCGTTTCTGTTGGGGCACATAAGCTAACACAGTGACTCTAGTTCTAAACAATGCTTTTAATTTTCAGTCTGGGGGCCATCCATCCAGCAGTCATAATACCTGATTTCTTGTTACCTTTACAAGCAGTTGTTTGGGACTAATTCAAAGGTTATTTGGCCCTGTTTTGACACTCCAAAAGTTTGAGAAGTATGACAGGCAGTTCCTCTGGGTTGGCAGCTCTGGCTCCATTTAAAATGGCTCCATTCATGTTATTTTTTTTTACATCTTCCATCTTAGTGAATCTCAATATTTCCTTAAAAAAAGCTATCCTTAGTTTTAATGCATGTAATCCTCAGTGAATTCATCTTTGTTCTTATCATTATATATATTTAAATGTTTATTATGTGTGCAGTGTTATAATATGTAGTCATAACACTGAATTTCAAAATTCTCTAGTACTTAACAAAGAGAAGAATTAGTCTTGCAAATTTAAATTATGAGATTAAAACCTCAACAATTAACCTATTGGTATATACATTATATATCATTTCATCTGAAATAATTCTTAAATCTTAACTATTCAGACAAAGCTTATAATATAAAAAGATTAGATTACCTGGGTTTTGTTTTTTTGAGACTTAAACCATGATGGTATGGCCTGATGCAGTCAATGAATAAAATAAGCCAATTAGCCAACTTTGACAAGGAAAGGCCAGTTCTAACCCTACATGTAACCAGTCCATTGTACAATTATAATTGTCCTGCATTTAGTCAACTACAGTATTTGCACTTGAGAATAGATGGCAACAGCATCCAGCATTCCACAGACTGCACTCACTGGCTTTCTATAGTGTTCTTCCATAAAAGAAAATTATAATAATATGTTATTAATAATATTATTATATTGCCATAGCAACGACAATAATAATTATCATTTCTTGAGTACTTACTGTAATTCAATCACTCAGCTCTGTTACATAGTTCGCACACTTGCCTTAGAGATATATGCAATTGCCCCACTTAATAGATTAAACAAAAGAAAAATGCAAGTTAATCCACCCTTATAGAAGGAGCCTTCTTCAATCCTCAGTATATTGCACAAATATCAAAAGTAAGCGGTGAATGAAGGTTTTAAATTTATTTTAAATGCTTTAATACTCTAAAATGTAGCCTGGATCAAACTTTCAAGCATAATGTTTACTAATTAATAACTAAATAAAGAGCAAGCAATCTAATTTGTCTTAGAAAGAAAGACTATTTCTTCTGGGAAAAATACAACTGGTTCAATTTTTTTAAATACCAAACTGTATTTCAAAAAAATGAAATATCCATATTAGATATGTTGCCATAACAACAAATCTGTAGTGCAACCATAGTACTAGTTGTACCATTTATAAGTAGAATCCTCAAACCATTTCTCCAATTATAAGACTTATATTCATGATTTGGACATCATCATTATACAAGTAGTTTGCAGAAAAATGAGATAATAGCTTTTATTTTTCTCTGTTATTTCAAATGTGTGTGTGAGATAGCTTCCCTCTTCCCACACAACGGCCTCTTTACCCACATCTTCCTGAAGAGGAAAAGAGAAGGCGAGAGGAGGTGGCCGAGAAGTGGGAAGGGAATGTACTCTCCTAGTATAACTAAGGGAGGGAAGGAAGTGGTGTACGCAAGAAGCATTTTCTCCTTAGATAAATGACTTTATCTTTCACCCCCAAAATGAAAATGGATTTGCCATTGAATTTCTGTTGACCACGTCTTCCTGTGTTGTTCATCCTCTTAAGAGATCACAAATTTTAGTTGGTATTTCTTCATAACCCTTTTGCTTAGGTCACTTTCTACTTTTCGACAGAAGAGCAAGCATTTGCAACTTTAAACTTTTTATTTTAGAAAATAACAATCCATTAACTTAAAATAAGCAAGCACAAATGACCTGCATTGATGTTTTTTAAAATAATACCTTTATATAACTTGTTGACATGCCCCACGACATTTCAAATGGCTTTTGAATAAGCATTTATCTATTCATTTTAAAATTACTATTTGTATACATTCTGTGCAATAGTTCTTCACAATTATAACCTCTAAATCCTCTACTTATTTTTTCTGTGTTGATATTGCAATCATAATGATGGTATTTAACTATAATTATTAATATAAGTAGGCAAACCATTAGTGCAGACATGAGCTATAAAAAAATATTAAATAACTTTAAATTTTCATTATGAACACTCTTCTGACATAGCGTTTCATTTTCTTGAAACATAATTAAGTATTTTTGAAAATTTGAAATATTTATATTGAGATAGTCTTTTTACCAAGACTGGACTGTTTTTCTTCATTACCTATAAATTAGTAACATTATGCATCTTAAGTTTAAATCTGGCTAGTGTTTTAAATTGGTAGAGAATTTATAATCAATTTAACAGCATTGATTTATATTTTTCATATTTTTTATGAAAGACTATTGTAACTCAAAGTGATTGGAAATAGGTATTTAGTAAATAACAAGACTTTAAGGGCAAATGATAAAATGTTAATATTCTAGAAAAGTTTAATAAAACCAATTACTAAAATAATATATATTTATTAGGAAATGCTACATCATAAATATTTCATAAATATACCTCCCATATCTTTAGCTGAAGACTACTAAATGAGACATTTTGTATTTTGATCTCACTAATAAGAACTTAATGGATGAAGCTTAGCAAATAAAATAAACTTTTCAGTAGAAACTATCTCTAATTAAATTTATTTTCTACTTGACTTTGAGCTTTTTCTGAGATCTTCTCCTATATAACTAATTTTGAACCTTATTTACTTTTATTTTTATATTTGTGTATCATCTACTTAACAGTTTAATAACAGGGCATTAAATAAAAACAAGGTTCAGTTTCTTTGTCTTTCTAGAAAGTTAAATTGGGTCAGCAATTATGTTCTGGTTTCTAAATCTAATTATTTTGAGGGTTTTTTTTTTTAATTAAAAATTTCTAGGACCTCTTCAATCTAAAGCCATGGGAAAACAGTGCTACCTACCTTTAGTGTTTGAAATCTCCATACTGTATTTTTATGTTTGAATTTCTTATCTTAGTTTCTTCATCTTACAAAAATACTTTAGCATTTTTTAAAATCTTTCCTATGAAATGTAAGTAAGGGCTTTTTACAAATTTTGTAGGAATATCCACATAATTGTTACTGATTGGAGGTATTACATAATCATGCCAATTGAGTTGATATTCTGGAAAACCTTTAGAGAAAAACAAAATATAAGAAATTAAGCAAAACATAAAAAGTATTCAGTTGAAAATTGCTCCGCAGATTTTTTTTCTTCAGCTTTGTAATTTTGTGAGTCACCTCAAAATCTAGTGTTGTCTTTATGGCAGATCTTTCAGTAAATGCAATATTGGTGTTTGTTTGGAGGAAATGAAGACTGGCCTAGTTGTACTTGAAGTCCATTTGGGTACTAACAGTACTGATATTTTTATTCATATATTGCAATCTTTTTTTTTGTTTTGTTTTTTGCAGTTTTACTAAAGGGAGGAAGAAAAGAAGAACCATTTAGAGACTGTGCAGATGTATATCAAGCTGGCTTTAATAAAAGTGGAATCTACACTATTTATATTAATAATATGCCAGAACCCAAAAAGGTAAAACCAGAAGTGTTTGTTTATGAGAAGTAAAGCAGATCCTTATTGAATTGCTGAATAATCAGATTGATTTGTGAGCTTGTTAAACTGAAAATATATATGCCTGAGCTCTTCTCTCTAAAAAGATACTCTGTTTCCCAGGTCATAAAAGATGAAAACCTATTGTATGGATCCCCCTAACTCCCACACCTACCATCCCTCTTTCACACAAAGCTTTTTACTTATTCTTTCTCATTCCTGGGATGTCCCGTTGCTTATAAGTGCTTGCCTTGTTCAGATTACAAGTCAAAGTCATATGTGCTTCACGTGCATGGGGAAGAGTCCCAAGGACCCAGATGGCACGTATCACCTACAGTCCAGACGCTGTGCAGAGGCAGCTAGGGACATATTTCCAGAATCACTGCTTCTATTAGGGTGAGAGAAAGACATTCTATGTTTAACTCATAATCTTGAAAGTATTTGCTTTTCAAATGTACCTAACAGAGCGTGTTGGAGGATAGGATTCACCAGTATTTTGAACAGGATCCAAAATAAACTTCGAAGTAAGAGAACACTATCTTCCTGCTGTCACATTGTTTTATATACTCTTTCCCCCTATTTATTCATTAAATCACCAGCCCATTCCTTCATTTAATACATCTTAAGAATATGTCATTCATTTGTCAGTCCCTGACTAGGGACAGAGTAGAGAACAAACAGTTCCTAGTGTGTGCTGAAAACAGGCAATTACACAGATAATTACGCTGTAGACGTGTAGTGATAGAGACACTGGGTTCGAAGCAGAGTTTTTGGAGATCCTTGAGGAGAGCCTTGCTCTTTAACATGAAGCACTAGCTAAATGCTCAAGGGCCCAGGAAAACTGTCTGCCCTTGCCATGCTTCATAAAGAGAGGAACAACCTCTGTCTTTGCCCCTAACCTACCCACCACATCCCTGTTTCCTCTGGGTGCTGTGCAGATGCTCCTGAAAGGCCTTCCCTGGGCCCTTAAACAAATTTGCACGATTTTCTTGTACCAGGATTCTACAAGGTCAAGGATTATAATGTTTTATTTTTTGTTTTCCCTTTTTAAATGAGGTACAATTGGTTTATACTGTTGTGTTATAACATTATAACATAGTAATTAGATAACTGTATATAGTACAAAGTTATCACCTCAGTGTCTACTTACTCATTGTCAACCACGTCATCATGTGGTTGACCCGTCCATTCATTTCGCCCATCCTGCAACTAACTCCCTTTCCCTCTTATAACCAATCTGTTCTCTGTATCTATGAGTTTTGTTCCTCCATTTGTTTTTTTAGATTCCACCAATAAGTGAAATCATAAGATGTTCTTCTCTGTGTGACATTTCACTTAGCATAATACTCTCAAGATCCATCCATGTTGTTGCAAAAGGCAAGATCGCCTTCTTTTTATGATCAAGCAGTATTCCATTGTGTGTACCTTGTTACCTTTGATTTCTTGGGACCCAGCGTAGTTTCTGACACATCATAGGTCCTCAGTGAATATGTGCTGAAATGAATGAATGAATGACTAAATGGCCCACTGGTGACAATATCAACACTTCTATGTAGTGCATTGTGAGTAAGCCTAACTTATTTACTCTTCCTGTTTGTATGGTTCCTTTGACTGGAGAAGGAAATGGATCTTGGAGACCAGTCTGTGAGATGTCACACCATTGTCAAGAGGAAGAGCCTCCACCAGCATCCCTCTCTCCTGATTTCAATAAGGCTCTCAGTGGCTTAAGTTCGCTCGAGGATTTTTTTTTCATTTGCTAGGACAAATTTTACCCTAAAAAGAGGCCTTGCACGTAATTCTAGAATAGGAGGGTGGGAGGGAGAAAGCACCAGGGTGAGGAGATGGATCATATTTAAGCTTCAATTCATACACATACACAGGCATGTAAACACTGCACCTACTCCTGCACCACACATAGAGCATATATATAAGGTGGTCAGAAACTGTCGGGGGATAGTAGTGGAGCCTGCATACTCTCTGTAATTTACCAATATTACGTGAAAAGAACCCCTAAATTATTGTCAGCTCCCCTATAAAATAATTTGATTATATAAGTAAAGTCAACTAAAAATATTAAGTGACCCTCCTTTTAGACTTTTAGTAACTCTATAATACATATGAATACAAAAATAAAATAATTTTTAAGGTTTTTAGATTAACATTCACACTTTTATCATTTTTTTACTCTATCACTAGTACTATCATGTGGCCTTGGTATAAACATTATTTAAATATGATTTTGATTATTCCATTCATTTTAATTCATGTATAACCACAACTCAATTCTGGTCCAAAATGCTTTGGGATACAAAAGATGCATAGGCTATTTGCAGAACCATGCTCCTTTTAGGGTAGAAGAAAAAGAGCCCATCTTAACTCATTATCCTGAATAGTTCATAAACTTGAATAACAACTCATAAGCTTGAGTGAATAATTATATAAAGGAGTAGATTGGAGGATTCGATTCACTGGTTCAGTAGCTGACACTTATGTTGGTTCCACCAGGACAGCATGATTTCAACTTGCATCTCTGATGAATTTCGCATACTATGGAGCTCAGGTTTCCTGAATAAATTAAATCTGAAATATTAAATCCACAGATGTCAAATATCTGCTGGATTAAACTTCTGATAATTGGGCCTAGGAAAACACAGTAGCCTGAACAGATTAGCAGTGAAATTAGTATAGGCCTGTACCAGGCAAATTTCATTATTGTAGAAATGGCTGCATGGCCTGTTCTCATCATCTGGTCAGGGATGTATTGGATTTAGTTTTACTAGAAATAATAGCATAATATGGTGAGAAAGGGAGATAACTGAGAAGAAAGGAGAAAGACTTTGGATTTCTTCTTGACTTAAGCGTGTATTCTCTTTTATTTTATTTGTTCCCCTGTATGATCATGAATCCTCTTTCAAGTAGTAATACTGTTCCCTTGTGCAGATAAATACTTTAGATTGATATATCTGTATATTTTTGTAGGTAGCAAATTTTGTTTTAAATCCATTATTATAGCCCAGGCTGGGTATCTTAGTTGTTTAAAGCGTCATCCTGATATACCAAGGTTGCGAATCCAATCCCTGGTCAGGGGCTCATACAAGAATCAATAAGTGAATGCATAAATAAGTGGAACAACAAATCAATCTCACTCTCTCTCTCTCCCGCCTCTCCCTCCCTCTTCCTCTTCCTCCCTTTCTCTTTCAGCAAATTCAATAAATAAAAAACTTTAAAAATTCATTATTATATTCACATAGCTTGGAATTAGAATAAATATTGTATGAATTTTCCCAATGTAATTTAGGAGTCATTTAATATTACAATAGTTAAAAATGTATTAATCATTTACAGTTTTCCAGGTCCTATTCTAAGTTTTATTTATATCAGTTATTCAATAACTCTCTTAAATAGGCACTCCCATTATCTCCATTTTAGAAAAATAATGTCCACATTACATAGTTAGTGAATATTGAGTACAGACTTTGTAACACAGAAATCAACTCCAGACTGCAGCATCTTAACAGGGGCGAAGTATGATAACTACTTACATTAATGATAACTGAAGTTGCACTGTCCATAATTTTTTTAATATAAACTTCTGTGAGTGACTCAGGAAAGAGTTTATTATCAGAAAATTATGTGAAGTTAATTTATTCTCTTATAATTTATTCTCTTACCTTGTAAGCCATTTCATTCTTCTACTTTGATATAAATCCTTGGTATTCTCTCAAACCTACAAAAAGTGCTTAGAATATTTATCTTCAGGACTTTCACTTTTCCAAGTGTTTAGGTTATGCTTTGTAAGTATAAAGTTTGGGGATACTTTTGTATATACTCAGCAAAAGCTTTGTTCATTATAATGTTTGCAGAAGCATGAGCAAGGATAGGAAACTCAAGGTAAGTCTATATAAAAGCAAAAGTAAACTAAAAGTTCAAGTATATATGATATAGATAGGCCAATCAGTAAAATTGGGCTATTTAGGCAATTGAGGAAAGCTATTAACAGGAATTGTTCACCTTTTAGGCAGAGTGAGAATTGCAAGTATACAGAATTGTTAAGCAATTGCTGTTTTGACGGCCACCATTCCCTGCCAAGAGAGAATGAATGTCTGCAAAAGTTAGAAAAGTGTTGTATTTTTTAATGTAATGTGGGAACCCAAGGCAGTTTTCTAGGACTATTTAATTTTTCAAATAGATAGAAAATTAGAATTAGATTATTTATATATTTCTTTTTTACTTTTATATTATTATTAAAAGCTTATAGTTATTTTCTTCTTTGAATTTCCTTCAATGCGTAGTAGTAGAAAATAAGGTTTTTTGTAATTTCACAAGTTTCTAATGCCCTATGGTTAGCTCAGTTTCATCCAATAAAAAAAAAGCCCATTAAATCATAGCTCTGCTTATTGTAAAATATTAAAAATGTGTTTATGAATTCATAATTTCCTAACTCTTAGAAAAGTGCTACGACAAATGTTTTGAGTCTTTTTTTATTTAAGGTTATGGAAAAATAATTAACATCCACAGGCCTAATCATTCCAACTTGTATGGAGCATAAAAACATAAGAACTATTTGAATCAAATTTCCCTTTTTTGTTTGGGTTTAAATCTCTGTATTATGTTAAAAGGTATTTAATGCTTGAAAGCTCTGACCTTGCCTGGGATAAGAGCCAGTTCAATCTTTTCTTGGATAGAGTTAAGCCCAAGTCACATGATCAATAAATGCAACCAGTATAGTAAGTGTATCAGGGCCCTTGTCTGCAGGAAGAGAGCACGGACCACATGATACTGGCAAATGAACTTTTCAAGTCCTTTCATGTCTCAAATCTTTTGAAACCAGCCACCTTGTTCTTGAACTTCTTTCATCTGTTAAGCATAGGCATTTTATTAATATTTTTCTCCTGACTAGAAAGAAGAGTCTTTTTTTCCTAGAAAACTTCTTAAAATTATGTAATAATAAAAAGTGGCATGTGCAAAGATTAGTAATGCCAGTATTATGAACAAGAATTTGGTAAACATAATCGTAAGGACAATTTATTGAATTTGTACACAGTTTGGCTTTGTACATTCCATATTATTTACAATAAGATAAAAAATAAATTATATGCAGTTATATGTAATAGTAATCCATGTACTATGCTATAATATAATATGAGACACATACAGAGTATATAAAGCATAACATAAGTATATATTATCTCATATGCTACAGACATCTAAGAGATATAAGTAATGACAAAACTTAATTTGTGCCAAACACTATTCTAAAAACTATATATGCAGTGGCATATTTAACCCTTACAAAAGATCTAAGAGATAGAGAAAGCAGAGGTGGGATTTGAACACAGGTAATCTAGCAGCCAAGTCCAAGCCCTAAGCCAAAGTGCCATTCAGCTTTATAATATTATGCCCATATTCCACAAACAGCAGCTGTTATTTCTGTTATTATTGAGACCTAATAAGAAATGTGGAGTGTATGCCCAACAAGTTAACTTCTCTGCACATCAGCTTCCATCACAGTGATCTTCCTGGGTGACTTCTACCTCCCATGTAGCTCTCGCTGACTTTCTCTGGCTTTTTATTAGGAGGGGCTCTCAAAGTACCTTAACATTTTTAAGTCACTGAATGCCTTTCTTTAAAGGAAAGTTGTCTTTTTCTAAACTTTATGAGTGATTTTAAAACTTTGCATAGAACTTTAATAATATAGATAATAGTAATAAAAACTGAAAATAATAGTTTTCTCTACACACTTGATATTTATAAACGTGGTTCTTTCTTTCCCTGAGTATATAAGTAGAATGTATAGGTTTGCAAATGCAGTTTGGCAAGATATCAGGCAATCAATGTCCATTAGAATATAAGAATTTGGAAAAAAATACTTGATTAACCAAGTCAAGGCAGGGTAAAATTTAATTAAGCAATGATGACATCAGTTTCCCCTAGCAAAATGTTTTCTCAACATTTTCACTTGCTCTTAAGTTTCAACGGTCAAGTTCCTCCTTGGCCACTGGTCTTGAATCACCACCTGCGCCCTTTCTAACCTGTGCCATCTGGATTTGATTGTCACAGGAATCCTGTACTCTCTCTTCTCAAGGTCACTAACATCTCCTTCATTTTAAATTTGTACATTTTCTTAATCTTTATTTGTCTTGACTTCTCTGGAATATTTGATTAAGTTGATCACTTCCCCAACTAAAAATCCATCCCCTTCTTTTATTCCATTACATTAATCAAGTTTTTCTTTTTTATCTTTCCTTCTTACATCTCTACTTATCCAATAAATATTCATTTAGTACTCACTATAGGATAGGCACTGCCTTCTTAAAGGTTATTGATGTATTTATCTCCATCAGTCTCCCATTCTGGGATCTTCTGTCACCCCCCCACACACACACACACATCTCTTTCCACTTCTGTCTTTTTGTCTTTAGAGACTACACTTCCAAACTATCAACTGGTATTTTTAAGCTTATTTTTCTCAACACCATTTTGAATTAGGTAGGCCTGAAGTTCAAATCTTGGATCAAGTGCTTGTTAAGAATAACCATTGGTAAGTTACTGAAGTACTCTAGCCTCATCTGTAAAATGGGGATAACAATCACACCCACATCATAGGGTTGCGAGATGAGTTAGAAAATGCATGTGAAGAGTTTAAATGATCTGGCACCTAACAAGCATGCTATCGTTAATGGCTCTTCCTCTCTTATTCCTGTGTTCTCTTCTCCATATTCTATCCTTGGTCTGCCTCCAGCAGATCATCTCCAACTGGTCAGTAAACTCCCCCTTTTGGATAACTGTGCTTACTTCACACTCTACACATTCAAAACCATGGCCATTTTCTTTTCTCGTATGTTAGTGCTCATCCTTAAGTTTCTCGTTTGGATCATTGTCTTCATCATTCTTCAGGTCATAGGCATTGGAACCTCTGGACCCCTGCATTTCCTTACTCCCAAGGAGTAGTCACTGTTGAAACTTTTAGGCATTTTTTTAGGACATGATCCATATTTTATTTATCATTTATATCTCCCATTGTAACACAGAAAAATAATTTAGTGAATGAATTAGACTTAAGGAAGACAAAAGACTGGCCAGAGCTTATGTGGACAACAATGAGCAGGAACAGAAGGGTTAAGGGATTAACTGAGGGAGGGAACCAGGGAGGGCCATTTCACATTTATAGTCTTGGAGGTGAGTCAATTCCTAGGGATTATGAAGACACACTGAGGGGTAACCCTTGTCCAATTAGAAGGACATCCAGCCCTCTGGAGAGCAGTTTACCTATTTATACTCTCAAATAGGCATATATTTTTTAGTTCCTTTCACACTGAAGAAGTACATAAATAACTTGTCCTTTGAATGACAGTTCTCGCCATTGTTTCCCTACCCTTTAGCTATTTGTGCCCCAAATGTAATGCCTCAAAAAAAAACACTTGACATTTTTTCCTTGAACCAGAGCTCAGCTCTGTGCCCACACAGCCTGCCTGCTGCCGCTGTGTCGCGTCTCCACCTTCAGCCAGCCTCCAAAGTGCTTTTGTAGTGAATTGCCAGGGGAGTGGTATTCCCCACAGTTGGGCCCTTGAATAATCAAACTGCCACATTCATGCTGCATCAATTATAGTGATTGCTCTCCAAAGATAATCCCATTACAGATATGTTTCTCTCCTTGGGAGGACGCTGGGGGGAATGAATCAATTTCTAAATAAATACTATTGTATTTAGAGTAATTGAAATAAGCATAAGTCTTTGAAAGATTTGGATAACTTTTCCACATGGGAAAGAAATGCTTGTTGCGGTCAGAAGGAATACAGCATGTCATGTTCCCTTCTTACTGTTCATGATGAAAATTCATGCGAGTAATGTGTTCTCCATATGCCAAGGACAAACTTTTGCCTCTAATGTAACATTGAAGCATTCAGGAATAATTATTGTAGTTATGTAAGTGCATAGAAGTTAATATGCAGTGAAATATGTAATAGCTGAATATAAATGACTTTTTATAAAATTGTTTTTCTAAAACATTGCTTATTACTATATTGCCATTTCAATGAACTAGAGATTTAAAAATCTCAAGTTGTATGATTTGATGATAAAATGGTCTATACTTTTGGAAACGTTAGTACCATTTTTAAAAATTCAGCAAACACTAGTACCTATTACCATTTAAAAAAGATCTTAAAAAATTTTATAATCTGAGACAGTGACAATGGATTTAAATGTTTGTAAGTAGTTCATTTTTATGGAAATTAATCAGAAACAACTAAATATAAGAAGAATAACCAATTGTATGTCTAAAGTAACATTTTTCAACATAGTAAATTTTGTTCTTTCTCTATAGGCTTATCCTTTCTATTTCTATTTTTAAAACATATCTGATACATGTCTCTTTAAAACAGACATATTGTTTTTACTTGACTTTATTTTTCCCTTTTCTGTCAGGTATTTTGCAACATGGATCTTAATGGGGGAGGTTGGACCGTTATACAACATCGTGAAGATGGAAGTGTGGATTTCCAAAGAGGTTGGAAAGAATATAAAATGGTAAGATAGAAGAATTTAAGTAGTTTTTGATGTTTTTATCATGAGGTTATCTTCACCACACTATGTGATAAACCCTTGTATTTTTAGGTGTTTTTTCAGTTATTTTAAGAATAAGATGATAAATTAGTGACATTATTTTCATTAAACACAAGATACTCATAAATCATGTTCAGTAAATTATTTCCATGTGTGCATTAGAAAGAAAAATGTGTTACTGAAATACTTTGGTGAACTGTTATACATTGCCTGGATTTGTTCCTGGTTGAATGAGGGTGGGGGAAGCTAGAACTCAGACCCAGGCTGGGCACATGAGTCAAGACAAGGCAGGTGCACAGAGCTGTGTGTTGTAGAGCAAGAAGCTACTACTGATGGAATCCCTCGCATGGCAGGCAAGTTGTTGCTGGTTGCTGACTGAGAGTTCCTCCACGTGGCTGGGCTGGACTTCTCTCAGTATGGTGAACCAGGGTCATCAAACATCTTATGTGGCAGTGGGCATCCCTCAAGCACAAAAAATAGAATTGTCTAGGCCTTTTTAAGGTTTATTAGATACAGAAATAGCTTGGTTTCCTTTCCACTGTATTTTTTTTCTTGGTTAAAGTTGATGACAGAGCCAGTCCATCCTCAAGGTAATAGGAAAACACAAGGGTATGGACTGTGAAGCATGGTTCATCGGGGTCTCCAAAACCATCACAGACATCGTTACCAACATCACCAAGTTCTCAGCTAACCTTTTCAATGCTTCACGTGTGCCAGCCCTATCCATAAATCTTACCCAGTTTTTAAATATCAAACTACAGCAATTGTGGCTAGCATTGTCTCCATTTTAAGAGGAAAATGAATGAGTTGGAGATAAACTTTTATAAGAATATAGATGGTTAAAATAATTCATAATTCAATAATCAAATACCCAATGCCTACAATATTAAGTTTTGAAATTTACCGACAGAATGTCAAGGCAGACACAGGAATGGAAGAGAATTTTCATGTACGAAGTAATTCTCTCTCTCTTTTTTTCACACCTAAATCTTTTGGATAATTCTCTTGATCTTTTTCAACGGATTTCTCTCTCATAAAGAAGGTTAAAAAAAAGTTGAGGATAAGTGCTATACCAGCTTAAGTGCTGTCTCACAAACCAGGTGTAAAAACTGGTCATTGGACACTACAGTTCATCCATTAGTAGGTTCGTTGTTGGCTGAATAACAGTAAATAAGGGGTTTTAGTAGATGAAGGGAGGTCCCAAGTGCTGTCTCTGTGACTACAATGTTTTTATCAGATACTCAGTTGAACACTGAATGTAAATTAATAAAGTCTGGAGTTTCACAAAGTTGGGATCTTGATGCCTTTAATAAACAATAAACTCAAGCTAGAAAGGTAGGAATCCAAAAAAAAATTCTACAGAGATAAATGTAGTCTTTTACCAGACCAAAAATATGCAAAATTAACTGTAAGAATAGGGGACATAGGTAGCCAGCTTAAGAACCTAGTATTTGAAACATGGAGAGGTTTACGTGAACATAAACTCATTTTATGTTGCTGGCTACAAACAAAAACACAGACTTATGTACACAATCGACATTAGCAATAGTTGTAAAAATGCGGAACATCCTGTGCCTGCCATGGTCTGTTTACATCAAGAATGTGCTTTCAGTTCTGGAGGTTTTCCAGTGAGGGAACTCACCCCAGAGGGTACGAGCAGGATGGGAGGAATTGAGAAACCATACCTGGAGCAGGTGAATAATTGGTGTCTAACCTGGAGAAAATAAATCCAGTATAAACCTAATTGTTGTTTTAATTGACTGGATAGAGGTGTGGTCCTGGAGCCTGCTACTCAAAGTTGTGGCCCAGGGACTAACAGCCCAGCATTGTCTGGGAGTTATTAGAAACACAGAATCTGAAGCCCCACCCCATTTTAATGTTCTAAAGAAGGAATCTCCATAATAAATGGGGGAATATTCCAGAGAGGCAAAATTTGACTAAGGGTGAATGAAACTCTCTAATGTCTCCTTCCGACATGAATGGACTGGCTGTTAAGTGGTAAGGAGCGCTCTTCCATGGAAACACCCCAGGAGAAGGTAAATCACCATGTTCCAGGATTGTTACAGAGAATTGGAATGTCGGCTTGATTTTATGGACATATGGTGAGGAGCAACATAAGTTCTAAAAGAGGACCTCACATTACATTATCGCTTTGTCTTCACTCCGTCACTTACAAAGAAGGTGTTATCTGGCAAATCATTTAACACATACCTAACTTGCTCACTCATTGAAAGGGGACAGTAATAATAATGCCTCACCTGCCTTGCAGGGATGGTGTGAGGATTAGTTAGAAGTAAAGCACTTGGCACCCTGACTGCTCAATAAACAGTAGTTGTTATTATTACTCAAAGTCTGCAAAATTTTTACTGAACTCTGCCAAAAATATTATTTTGCAAACCACCTTAGCTCATGATTACTTTCATGACTAAAATGGGATGTGAAGAAGTCATCTGAGATTCAGACTATAGATACATGTTCAGGCAAACCTATAAATACCTTATTATGAACATTGGTAATAATAGAAAAAATGGATATAAAGTTGCCACCATGGTGACTTTCCGAACTAATGAATTAGTAGCTGTAAGCATCTGCTGCTGCCTCAACAAACTAGTCACGTTAAGTAAGAGCAATTGACATATGAAGTATGGTATTGAGTAATATCTCGTATTTCTCAAATATATATACATGCATTTTAATTTATGTATTTTCATTATTGGAATGAGAATGAATTATCTTGTAATCATAGCTTTTATGAAGTTTCCCCTCTCCCTCTTTAAAATAGAAAGACCATCATGTTTTCTTCAAACTGGAACAATTTATCAGCTGCGTGTCAATTCTGCACGGGCAGTAAATGAGATAAGGCTCCAAAATCCTGAAACATTTTGGCAAAAATGAGTCTGACGACTTATTTGTTTTAATTAAAAGAATTCATCATATGTTATAACTTGGTTAACTTTCACCAAAACACATGGTAGAAGGTGTTGCAGTCGTTTCCTCCAGAGGTTTTCTTTCACCTAAAGACAAAATAACAGGACTCCACAAGGGACAGATGTAGACTCCCTGTGCCAGTTCTCATCAATCACACCCACTTGCGCTCCCTGCATCAGCAGAGCTGGCTGCTGGGGTGTGTACATCCTTTGGGAAAGCGAGAACTTCTTGGCACGCACCACTTCCTCCTCAATCTTCACTGACCTACTGTAATACAACCTGAGATGCTTCACTTCTCTCCCCAGCACCGAGTGTAGAAATCAAGTTTCATCCTGCCTTCTTCTCTGCCTTCCCTCTTCCTTTCCTGCATACTGGCTGGTGCCTACGGGCTGCCCCTTGCCTCCTAAGGTTTTCAGAAAAAAATATGTTAAGATGATCAACGTGAAATTGCAAGTATAGCTCATATGTTAAGAATATTTTTTTAAACCTCTCAACATGGAAGATTTGCTACGTGTTTGATTCTTTAGCTTTAAGCCTACAAAACTCTTTTACCTGAGCTTTGTTTTTACTTAACCTGCCTTATGAGGAGATTCAGCAAATTCTGGTTTATGGATTTGTAAAGATGTTTGCTGAGAGGGAAGTCTGGAGTGGGCCCTTTTAATGAGGCACTTAGGGAACTATATTAACTCCTTCAAGCCATGCAAATACTATTCCGTGGCCTCCAGCAATAACACTTATCAGCAGTACTTTTGCACATAAAGCCCAATCAAGCTTGGAGTTCCAAACAGTACCCCAGTGGCCTGACTTTATGGAAGGTAGTGACTAGTGCCCTGGAGACAACCTGGTTTTGTATTGAAAACAATTACCCCCATAAACCGAGCTTCCTATTAACTCAAATATTTCAGTCTGACCAGCATACCTTCTGGGAGTTCTTTGTTTCTGAAAAGAAATTAAGAGCACGTTTTCAACTGCATTTTAACATCTTTGCATTAAGAAGAGAAAAATCTATAAGAAATTTAAAATGTGAAAAGAAATCTTTTGTTTGATCTTTCTTGGGCTGAGTGTGTCTCAGCAGTGATCGGAAATGCACAACCGAATTGTGAATTAAGGCACCTTTGGAAGCCACAGCTCAGCCACCACAGCTTCTTATCTGTTTTCTTTAATTACTTTTATGGGAAGAGATGAAACCCATAGGATACATGGACTATGTCTGGTTTCAATTGTGTTCAGCTATAAAAAGTTGACACTTCCTATGAGTATTATCAGACAAAACAAATAAAGTATCTGAGACAATTATTTTATTAACTTGGAAAAATACAAACCACAACTGACCATTTCTGCAAGTTTGGGCAAAAACTAATGAATATTAGTCTTTCCTCTTTGTGCATTTTTAAAACACTATGTGGTTTTTAGGCAAGTTGTAAGTCAGCATCAGTTTAGGTTAATTTCCAGTGTCTTTTGTTTTTTATTAAAGAGCTACAGGAGAAATGCAATTAATGATTTACCTGAATTGTGGTATAAAAATCTTTTATGTGATTGTGATTGGCATAACAGAACATAGTAGTTTTCATGAAAGAATATGGTATGACATCCTTAGATTTCATTTATGAAAAAGAAATTCTATTTTTATTACTATTATGAATTTAAATTCTATTACTTTTATTATTATATGAATTTTTTTCCAAGGACAGTCCATAACACCTAATCAAAATTTGTTCCTTAATACAGACCCAAATATGAAAATGAGGTTTTTTGCCTATCTTTTTCTTCCCTGTGTGCCAGATTATTTGATCTGGTTAACATATTTTTTCTAATTTTTCCTCAGAATAGTTATTTCATGTCAAGATAATATGATTCTGCACCTTGGTGTACAACAGGCTTGGCAGTGAAATGTGCAGATCTCTCCGCCCACCCCAGACACACTGAGTCAGGACCAGCGTGTGGGGAAACCAAGTCATCTCTATTTTTAAAAAGTTCCACGGCTGTTTTTGATATGCACTACAGGTTGAAAAGCAAGTGTCAGAACTATCAATTTATTGGCATGGGTTTAAGGTCTCAAAAATTACCTTTTTCTGTAGATCCTGAAACTTACCAGATATACAGAGAAAGCGATGACAATAAGTGGCATCAGAGGGAAGTCGGAGACCGCTTCTCTTTAGTCGCAGGAGGCAGAAGTAAGAATGAGAACATAGTCCACACTTTGGTTTACGTCATAGATTAGCCCCAGTTGCAACCTGTTCGTTCTAATTTCTTATTCAATATTTATCTTTTTGGATTAAGATGATGCTACTCATTTGTATAAACCAGCACTCAACCCATCATAAGAATACAGTTAGTTCCTAGCATCTGAAGGCCTTTTAAAGAATTGTATCAGTATCCTCCTACTAATTTTCAGGCTAAAACAAGACTCTGGATTATTTTTGTTCTCTTTCTCATACAAAGTAAAAAGGAACCTGCTCACCCTCAAATAGCTCACAGTCTCAGAGGAGAGAGGCAAGTAAACAGAAAATTACTATGTATTGTGATGTATGCCCTGACTATACCAACATCTAGAATTTTGTTAAGTGTTTCTCACGTATCAACACTGAGCTAAATGCTTTAGGTATATTATCTTATTTCTTACCCACAACAGTCTATATGGAAACCATATTTTAAGCTGTGTTTTGCAGAAGGAAACTGAAGCTCAGAAATGATGTTAGACTGTCCACAGCAAACGTGGCAGAAAGGCTTCAAATTAGAACAGGGACAGGGAGTGGAAGTTGTTTAATCAAAGCCAAGCCTTTGTTGCTAGGCATCAGATTTGTGGTCAGTATGATAAATTATACAATAGACAGTTTATTAATGTGGGAACCCGTTTCTCCTTCTTTCATTTATTTTTCATCTTTACGATGAAACAGTTGTCACTGCACTTTTAGCCATTAGAAGGCTTCCTCCCTACACTCTCTCCAATAGCCATTTTGATTCATTGTAGTCCAATATTTTGCTCCCACAATAGAGCATGCGTAGATAGTTTATCAGGAAGGTGCATGAAATAGAATTTTGGTTTCCCGGAACAAGTTTTGTTGCTTATTTTTCAGTTGCTTCTTCCTCTTTTTCTCAGTGAGAAAAAAATCCAACTGTTTAGGAAGGGATGTTAATCTCACTTAGAGGGAGGTACAAGTCTGCATGCCAAGACGGGGATGCATGCTTGTAGGAATGACATTAATGGCCGTCCATTTGTGAGGCTCGCAGGAGATCTCTTACATTTCCCTGGGGAAGCTGGAGAGTTTTATCCATGCAACGCTTTCAACAGCATGGAAATATGTGACCTAAAACTTAACACTTCATCATTCCCAGCCTCCTTACTCACATTTAGTACCATAGCGAATCCCTTCTGACTACATGGAAGAGGGAATCGTCAAGTGGCTAGAGGGAGTTCTGACATGTCTGAGCTGAGAAGAAATGCAAGGAAAACCCCAGCACTCTTTTTTTTCTTCCCAGTGGCTGCTGCATCTGAGAATGTGCTAATTCTCTGACTTCAGTCCTCTGTAATTTTCTGTTTTGCTTATTCATTGGAGAAGGTAAGCTTCACTCTTCTCCCTGGTGCGTGGCACCAACTGCCATAAGAACGTTTAAAATTCTTAGCACATCCTAAATTGCTCTAATATTTCCTGCCACTGTGGAACTGTTGCCAAATGTGACTTGAGTATTTTAGGAACAGAGAAAGAGCCACGGGAATCCTGACTTCATTGGGTTCTATATTTTCACTCGGAGTTCTAAGTGGACAGTCTTCAGGGGAGCATAGGAATATATACTCAGTGCGGTCTGGACAGAGGGTGTTCAGTTCATCAAAACCTAAGTTAATCTGGAGAATAACTTTAAAAGTATTCCTACGTCATTTTATTTTAACTTTAAATTTAAAAATATGCACGTACTTATCCATTTTTAAATGTAGTACCAAACCCTGGAATTCTGGGTAAGTAGTTCTTTCATCATAAACTTTCCCATGATGAAATGCATCAAATTTCTAGCTTTCATTTCTTTAAACTAGAATAAGTAAGAGACATGCACAGCAATTAAAAATCCTCAAATGTTTTATTTTTCCCAATCTTTTAGAGTTGGTTCAGCAACACATAATTCAAAAGCAACTTTTTTAGGGATTTGCTTTTATCAAGTGAGCCTAAATATTTAAATTAGATTTTTTTTAAAAACCTCCTTTACCCACTAATATTTAACTTATTTACATAACATTATAAATCTTATCATTATAATAATAGATCTGGCATAAGCATATTTGCAACCAAGCACAACTGGCTTTGATAAGTAACTTAATTGGCAGAGACAGTATACATTTAATTCTTTTACTATACTCTGTGCATCAATATATTTTAAAGAAGAAATGGAAAGTACTGATTCGTGTGTTAAGTGGGTTAAAGGAGAAAGCAGTTAAGAACACTTCTAATGTAGTTATAATTCTGTATAGTTGATATGCATGCCACTTTCAAGTAAAGGTTTTCCAAATTCTATCTTTTGTGTTGAGAAAATCAGGATTGATGTGATTATTTTACTTGTTTCCACATACTTTTTCTTAATATAGATAAAATAAAACCTGTATTAATGAATACCTCAATTAACCAGATTCTGTTTACTTCTGAAACATCAGAGCCTGTCCTGTTATTACTGGAGGTGTGTCTTCTAAATACAAAAGTGCACAACACAAATTGGGAGCTTATTCAGTTGCAGATCCATGGGGCTGACTCTTATGCATTTTAGTTCAGTGTGGAGCCAGGAATTTTTGTTTTCAACCTAAACTTCAGTGACTATGATTCAGTCAGGAACTTGAAGACATACTCTCCTGAGCCCTAGTTGGTATGGCTCAGGGCACATACCTAGGTTGTGAGTTCGATCCCCGGTCAGGGCTGTACGAGAGGCAACCTATCAATGTTTCTCTCCTACATCAATGCTTCTCTCCTTCTTCCTTCCCCTCTCTCTAAAACAAACAACAACAAAACAAAAACAGAAAAAAACACTTTTTAACCAAATTACCTAAAACAAGAATTATGTTTTATGGTTACTTCTCTGAATGTCATTACAAGTTGCCATAGTATTTTTCTTCCCTCTTTCCTTCCTTTGTTTCCTCCTTTCATCCTCCCTCCTTCCTCCTTTTTCTTTGAACTTCAGTAAAACATATAGAATGTTCGGGATATGACTGTTTCCCACTAGCCTTTGAGGATTCGCAAATACAACACAAGTTCTGTCCGTAAGGAGCTCATAGCCTGGTCAGTAGACAGACATGCAGAACAATTACATTGAACTCCAAGCATTACCAAGAAATACTTTCTGAGGCAGTTGTGAATACACAAAGTCTAGGATGCCAACAGTTACTTAAGTTCTTTATTTTCTTATCATTAACATCTCCAACATTAAGAGCTGGCTTTATTTTGGGCACAGCATTTTCCCCCCACAACTAAACTATTTTGAACACTTAATAACCATGACTGGGATTGCCCTAAAAAAATAATAGAACCATATAAGTAGCCAGCTAAATTCGCCCACCAGCTCTTATGTCAGCCTTCTGACTCAAGATCCAAATTCATGCCAGTGAATGATTATAGGCTTGGATTTACAGGTTTGCTAATTGCTGTTTTAAAGTGAGAATATTATGGCATAGGAGTGCATATATCTTTTCAAATTAGTATTTTGGATTTCTTTGGATAAATACTCAGAAATGGAATTGCTAGGTCATATGGCAGTTTTATTTTTAATTTTTTTGAGGAATATTCACACTATTTCCAAAAATGGATGTTTCGATTTATAATTCTTTCAACAGGGCATAAGGATTCCCATTTCTCCACATCCTCACCAACAGTGGTTGTTTGTTGATTTTATTGATGACGGCCATCTGACTGGTGTACCATGATAGCTATCCGTTAGCTACCCACTTCCCACTTCCTTGATGATGAGAGATGCGGGGCACCTTTTTTGTGTCATTGGCCATCTATTTTTCCTCTTTGGAGAAATGTCTATTCAGTTTCTCTGCTAATTTTTTAATCACATTGTTATTTTTTGGTGTTATGTTATATGAGTTCCTTATATATTTTGGATTTCAACACTCCTATTGAATGTATCATTGGCAAATATTCTTCTGAAGTAAGTCAGACAGGGGAAGGCAAATACCATATGATTTCACTTATATGTAGGATCTAACAAATAAAATAAACAAAATAGGTACGAACTCACAGAGATCAAATTGATAGTAATCAGATAAGAGGGGGTGAAAAGGTGAAGGGATTAAAAAGTATAAATTACCAGTTATAAAAATAGTCATGGGAATGTGAGGTATACCATAGGTAATATAGTCAATAATATTGAAAGGACACCATATGGTGTCAATAAGTATATAAACACTGGAATTTTGGGAGGATTTTGTAAGGTACATAAATGTCTAATCACTATGTTGTGTATCTGTAACTGACATAATATTGTATGTTGACTGTAATTGAAAATTAATTTTTTAAATGAGAATGTTAAAGCTGAATAATAATGAAAACACAAACAATAATAGTATTGTTAAACAATTGTCTGATACTACCCTGATAATTCATTGGAAAATATTTAATTATGTTTAAAAAATATTCCATTAACTGGTATTTTATAAACATTTTCAAAAGCAAGCTATGATAGAGAAGCGTTTACTGGTTAACCCCATTAATCAGATCCATTTAATCCCAAACATCTAATCTACACAGATGTGACCACAAGGTTTTCCCCTAATAAGGATTAGATGGAGAGAAACGCAGCAGAAAAATATTGAATCAGTAATTGAAAAAAGTATGTAAAAATATGAAAGAAATTTATCTTTACTTTTCAAAAAGTTTCATTATTACTTAGAACATAGTTAATATTGAAAATGAACAGACTTTCTCTCAGAAGTAACAACTGCATCTCTGTCTTCTTCTTCCACAGGGTTTTGGAAACCCCTCTGGTGAATATTGGCTGGGGAATGAATTTATTTTTGCCATGACCAGTCAGAGGCAGTACACGCTAAGAATCCAGTTAGTGGATTGGGAAGGAAACCAAGCCTATTCACAATACGACAGATTCCACATAGGAAATGAAAAGCAAAACTATAGGTAAGTTTTCCTTCCCTATAGTGCTCAGTTGCCTTGGGCCTAGACCACTTAATCGTTTTAATGGAAAAGTGTGAAAAAAAGACATGATAAAAGTCATCCTTCAGTTGAAAATCAGGTTGCTTGTCTAGGCCTCTGATAAAGATATAAAAAGCCTTGTCGAGACTTCTTAAAAGCTTGGAATTCCAATTTTCACAGACTGATCTCTTGATGTTGGCTTAATTTTTGAAGATAAGGAATTAAGTCAAGCACAACATTATTAGCATTGTTCTTACTGTTATAAAGTTTCAGTGGATTCATACATATAAAGCTGATGACAGAGAGTTTACCCAACCTCAGTGGCTTGAAATAAAAGCACTCTTTCTTCTGTCAAAAATGTTCTATTTATATGTTCTTTTTTAACCTTCCTTAAATTGTGATTTTCACATTATTTTGAAGGTGATAAAAGAAGAATAAAATTCCATGTTTTTGAATAATTGACATAAAAATTAAGGTGAGGCATAATTTAGATTTTTTTGGTAAATAATGTAAAAGACAAAAATAAATCCAAATCATGGCATCAATATACACAGTCCATCATTAAAGATGTAAACACACTTAATTGTTAACATCTCTGATTTTTTCTATGAGCAACTCATATACAAAAAAAATCAAAAGTGGCTAAGCAAGGAATGCACTCTGGTACATTCACTTCACACCCACTGTCTTATTCTGTGTTTCAAGGACTCTGCTGTTCACCAGCAATTTTGCAGTCAGGAATGAGATCTCTAGTTTCCCAGACCTCACTGTCCAGCTTTGTTACGAACTAGATCACTAAATATTATGGGAATATATTTTAGTTACTTTTATATCACTGCCCATTAATGCAATACCTGGCAAAGAGCAAGCCATTAATAATCGTGTGTGCCTCAGTTTTGTCATCAGTAAATTAGAATTGCAGTGACTTTAAACTCTCAATATTGTGGTTATTCTGCACGGGTCAGGGAGACACAATTGTGTGCATTAAAGGGTTGGCACACTGCTACAAGCAAACTGCAGTGAAAGCAACCAGAGCCTTCTGCTTTTCTCCAACTTGTGTGGCCCCCTCCTCATAGTTCAACTGTTTCTGCTGCTTATTTGTCTTTTTGAGACATATCATTCTTTAGGGCTTTGAACCTACAACTTTTTCATGAACGCATCTCATTGTATTTTAATGAATTATGTATGGAACTGGATCCTTGGAGACATAATAATCATTTTCTTAACAACCAGTGATGATGTCACCACATCAACAGAGGATGAGAAATAGATCTAAAGAGTTCACAGTCTCGGGGGGTGGGGGCAGGGAGTGAGGGTGTACATAATGGCAATTCAAGAAACCAAAGAAGAGACATTTATAAAATGCAATGGAGTGTAAGAAGAAATGTTTCCAAGGAGGTCAATATTTTGAGATTTTTATAACAAGAAAAACCACTGTAAAACATCAGGGGTACTCTTATGTAAATGTTTTGACCTGAAACTTGAAACTATATGAAACTTGGCTAATGTCAGACAGCCTGACAATAGGACTAGCAAATAATTAGTCCAGTCTTTTTCTAGGCTCCTGAAGAATTTTCTTTGGTTCCTTTCCAAAATGTCTCTCAGTCTGCGTGTGTGTGTGTTCATGCCTATGCCTGTGAGGCTGGAGTGGTGTTATGGGGACAGACTCTTTGAGCAGGTTAAGGAGGACCGTGGGCCTCTGAAGTGAGCTTTAGGGTGGATGGCGTGACTGTCATTCTTGTGCCCATGTGAGGAAAGAGCACTGACCTCCTCTTTGAGTGCCCCACTGCTCTCAGTGAGCAGTTCCCATTCCTTCAACACTATGTGATGCTGGTCTTTACCCACATGATGAAGTTCTGTTATCAAAAAGATGAATCAAGTCAAGAACCACAGGATTTCACTCATACATGGGATGTAAAGTGGACAGCAACAAATGAACACACAAGACAAACAAACAAACAAAAATTCATAGACACAGACAACAGTATGGTGGTTACAAGAGGGAAAGAAGAGGTGGAGAGAGGTAGTAAACAAGGTCAAATATATGGCGATGGAAGATTTAACTTTGAATAATAATATACAATGCATGATACAGATGGTGTATAACAGAACTGTACAGTTGAAACCCACACAATTTTATTAACCAATGTCACCCTGATAAATTTAATTTAAAATAATTTTTAAAATATTTTTCCCGCTAGAGTGAAGCATACATTCTTGAGACTCCCATTCTTTCTTCAGAGTATTATGAACCTTGAAAATCAGAACTATAAACTCACAAGGAACCTAATAATTTAATTTCAAACCTCTGGTTTTAATTAAAAGAAAGCTGAGGTCCAGAAATAGGCAATATTTTGCCCAAGAAGAGAGATAGATTCAAATATGGGATGTCTGACTCCTACCTTGTTTGGTGTGGTTTCCACTCTATCATGCTGCTGTAATAAAGTTGGTGGCTCTGGCCCTCTTTCCTGCCAAGAATCAGCAGAAAATAGGTCAGTAGTCATCACTGTCTCATGCAATAAAGTATTAAGATTCATGTTGGCATCTAGTGGGAAATTAGAACTCATTAAAACATAATGCCTGCTCTGGTGAAAGCTTAGTTAAAATAAGCACAGTGTGAAATGGCACGATTCACTCTTTCAAAGAAAGTCAAACAGAAGCTTAGAAAGGGGCAGCTACACCCTCGTGACTTCCCTCTCCACTGTGTCATCACTCACTCATGCCCAGCCGGGATTGTCCGGGTCCAGAAAACCTCCCACGATCCAGGGTAGAGCTCCACATGTCCGGCTTCCCCTTCATGCCTTTCCTCTACTCTCTGGTTTTCCCTCTGAACTAGGAGGCCTTATTGAGATAAATTATTAAAAGTATTAATACTGACATTTGTATAGTATTATATAATTTATGAGATAATTTTAGCACTTTATTAATTTAATCCTGACATTGACTTGGAAGCATTTTTAGACACATTTTAAAGATGTAGAAACTGAGAGTTGGGTCAATCGACCTGCTCAAATTCAATTGAAATAAAATTGGCATTTATGCTAGATTTTTGTTTTACTTTTTTACATTTTCTATATTTTTCTATTTCAAATTAAATGCAGAAGTTCTCTGAGGGTTTAATTTTTAATACCCTATCTTAACAGAAGTTATTTTTAAAAAACTCTTATAATAGCTATAGCCATATATATAAATCAAACTTGCAAACGTTCTCCTCATGCTCTAGACTCATGTTGACTGAAAGTAAGGGTTATGAATGGACAGATAAGCTTATAAATGTGCATGTAATGCACATATTTTTTCTTTTATCCTCTAAGGGGATTCAAATGATTTTCTCAGATAGAAAAGGAAATCTAACGAATCCAGAAGAATAAAGAAAATAATCAATAATGTAAGAGTGTCGTAATGAATGCATCATGTGAAATAACATAATCAATATGAAATTATTAAATACTTCCCCTAGAGAGGTAATGTTGTCTAGATTCTTGTCATTTGACACCCAGACTATTACAAGCATGCCTGCCCCCTGTCTTGATGTTCTCAAATTTAGCTTCCACACTATTGTGGGATGTTTTCTCTAACAGACGATCTGACTTGGTCTCCACCCTCCTTCATGTATTTCAACAATCTTCAGATAGGTATTTACAGGTTAAAGTCTGCCATTTAAGTCTTCATGGCCTGACCACTACCTTCTTATTCAGCTGTGGCTGTCATATTCTCCTCCTAACCTTACCCAACCAGACACTCCTTTATTATGATTATGTCTGGTAGTTACCTGCAATTTCCTTAAACCTTCTTTGCTTTTGCTTATACTATATTCTAACCCTATATACATACACCTAAAATCGTCTAAATTTTAAAGATTCTCCCTTATTCCTAGAAGTCTTCCCTGACATCCACTATGGTGGATACTGTGATGTACTAACATATTGTCTCCCTTCAGAACTGAAGTACTCCTCCCACCTCGTGGATTGCTGGCTAACAGCTTATAGCCAAGGTCCCCTACCTGGGCATTGCCTGGGGCTGAAGAAAGTCCATCACCCAAAGTCACTGCTCCTCCCTGCAGACATTACACTCATGACTTTTCGATATAAGAGTATGTAAAGATCCCCTTGCCCCAAGTTGGGGCAGTTCTGAAGGGCCATCCAAGGTCCATTATTGCACTGGAGATTAGCTGAGGTCTTCAATATGACCATGTGTAAGTCCAGCTTTTCCCTCGGCTCAGTACAGCTTTCTTCCCTTTGCCACTTGGATTGATCCTAAGAGGACTCCACTATAAGTCTCCCCACTGTGATTTCCTAGAGAAATACATCACCCTCACTCTCAGGCTAATTTGGATGCTCTTTACTCTCATATATTCATAACACTCTGTGGCTAACTATTCAGTATTCACACTCTGTTATAAACTCATCAACAAGTGGTTTATTTTTAAATAACCATGTGTGTGTGTCCTTTACCACTGTCTCATTTTCTAGAGATTAAAAACTATTGTTATCAAAATTCAAGATATATACCTAAACTAACCAAATTGTTAACTGATAGTTAATTGCTAATGTTTAATGAATACATACTATGCACCTTGCGCTCATGTGAGAAAACTGAAGCATTGTATTTTGTACAGGGTCACAGGTACTAATATGAGTAGAAGTCAAGATCTGAGCTTTGATCTCATAACTGCTCACTATATACTTACCCCTTAATAAAGAACAATCATTAGTTAATTTCTAGAATCAAATACTCTCAAAAACATATACTAAGAGATAGAATGTTTCTTCTAATCCCATTTCTGTCTTTAATAATATGAATGTTCATGGACACATGTCTTCTCTCTTGTTCTCAATTTTCTGCCTTATAAATTAAAGTAATTATAAAGCTTCATACAGCCAAGAAATTATTTTCTGAACTAGAATTAACTTTCTGTACACAATTTTTTTTATTTTATGATTCTTCAATTCTTTGATAAATGATTAAGTTTTAATCTCTGTAAT